TCTGTGCCTCTGCTAAAAATACACACATGATCACCTCCCAGTTCATTCCCTTATAGAAAAAAAAGTCCTAGTGCAGACTGAATCATTGCAAAGTAAATCATATGTGTAGAATAAACATTATTTGAGCAGTTATTGTACCTGTTGTTTTTTTTGTGAGGATTGGAAAAATAAAAATGGCACCATAAAGAGTTGAGTTCGGCTGTAAACTGTGTAGAGCTGAGGTGCTTGGCTGTGGAGCATTCTGAGACCGCAGGATTTTTTTTAGGGGTGGTGCAGGCTGTCTCAGTTCACCAGAAGGCTATGCTCTCAAAGATCCAAAGCATGGATGCTGCAGTCCACAATGGTAGCACCTTTTCTTTTAATGTTGTGTTTTGTTTTGTTTTTTATTTCAGCACCATGTTCTGGACATAATATAAAAAGGAAACAGAGGAGAAAAAGAAATAAATGCACCAATTTGTTATCTGAACATACTGCCTCCCCTTGGTCAATCTGATGGTAGACATTTAACCCAGGTCAAACACTACAGTGGCCTGTTGCTACACATTAAAATGAAGAAATCAAATGGTCTTTTTTATTATTTTGAGATGAGAGCACTTATGTATTAAATATCAAGGGTCATCTCGCAATGAGTCCTGAAGACATGTTAAGAGAAGAAAGAGAATCAGAAAAAAATCGAAGATTCGAAGAAAATGATCACGTGATTTTTGTACATTTTGCCCTAAACTTGTGATATAAAACCTTTAGAAATCCTTTGTAAATGCAAGACAGAATAAGATGTAAAGGCATAGAGAACAGTACAAAACAATCATTGATCAATTTGTTTTGTGTCGTGGCTGGTTTGTGTCAGAACGCTCCATCGAATAACCCAAAAGTGATGCCTTTGAGCTAACTGAAACATGCTCAGTGAACTGCGTCTTTGACAAAACCAATAAAAGGAAGCAACTCGTCGTTTTGTTCGATCGTCTAACCAGGAAACGGTGCGCCTCTGCCTGCGACATCTTGAGCGAAACCTTGACACTAAAACGATGCGTTGCTCACTGAGGTGTAAGCTGACAGAAAATGAGAACTTGGCTTGAACTTTTGATTTTGAGCGAGACAGCGTTGTTTGGTTTTTGTCATGGTCTTGGTGAGCACGTTGGCACATAAAAAAAAAAACAAGTAAAGAAAAAGACGCTGGCTTTGTTTGCGGACCTGGCTGCCATAGCTGGATTAAAGCACCCCAAAGAAACAAGGCACAACAAGGACTGAGGCAAACAAACATGCCGTTCGAACCGTCCTGCTGTGTGTTTTGGCTAAGAAGAGGTGTTAAGACTGGGCAAGTAAACTGGACTGAGGCAGTTCTCTGTAGGGAATTTCTTTACAAACTTGGTTATGGTATGAGGTGAGGTGTAGCAGCCTGAATACTACATTATACAGTTTAGACACTCCTTTCACTCCAATATATTTGTAGCTTATCTTTTGAGACCCGTGTATAAGTTGAAAATAATAGTAAATAAATCATATAAAAACATTAAACCTACATACTAACTGGCTTCTGACTAATTGTTGATTACAGAATGTGGCAAAGAGGTGTTTGATCTGTAAAAAATACATAAAATATATCTTATGTTTCATATAAATTCAGAGCTGTACATGACTCTTTCTACACCTTTAAAACCCAATAAACTGTCATCACTTCTATGTCAATGACACAGTTACACAAGCATAAATACTCTGCATTTTACAACAACAAGCACTGTTAAATTAAGTAGCTCATTTAATCTTAACTGATGCTTCTGTCCCCACCCCACCCCTTCCTGACCACTCCCCATTACACACACACACACACACACACACACACACACACACACACACACA